TTTAAAAAAGAAATTATAGATTTATTAATTTGCTAGTTTATTTGAGAGAAATCGTTTTTTTTTTTTTTTTTAAAGTACAAGTTCACGTTATACAGTCGGTGGAAATATTTATTTCGATTCATATTTCAAACTATTGTAACTTTCTTCGCATAAATTACAAATTGACTCTTCGATATACTTTAACACATTCTTTTTACAAATCCATAGAATGTATCGTTAAAACTATTCGCCCCTAACCCCCCCCCCCCAAACAGAGGAGTGATCTTGTGATTAATCACCGTAAAAACTGAGGAGTGATCTATTGATGATTCACTGTTACAGAGAAGTGATCTAATTGATGATTCACTGTTACAGAGAAGTGATCTATTGATGATTCACTGTTATAGAGAAGTGATCTATTGATGATTCACTGTTACAGAGAAGTTATCTGGTGAGGATTCACTGTTACAGAGAAGTTATCTGGTGAGGATTCACTGTAACAGTTAAGTGATCTGGTGATTATTTAAAGGTTAACTATAAACTGCAGCCTACGTCACGGTGCACAGCGTAGCCTATAGGCCTACTCTATACTTCAGGCTTTATTGCTGTGTGATCCAATCCGTTTTGTTGAGCCTTCTCGTCCATGAGGGGCATCCACCGGTCATCGTCGGCGTCTGCGGTTCCTCCAAGGGCAAAGGCCACCTACGAGAGACCTCCAGGCATCTCTATCCTGGGCCAGCTTCTCCAGGATCTTCCATTCATGGCCAATTTTCTTGATGTCTGTCTCCAATTCTCGGCGCCAAGTGTTTCGTGGACGGCCTCTTTTCCGCTTACCCTGTGGGTTCCATTTCAGGGCTTGCTTTGTTGTGTTAGAAGCAGGTTTTCTTAGTGTATGACCAATCCACCTCCACCGCTTCTGGAGAATCTCTTCCTCAATGGGCTTCTGTTTTGTCCGCTGCCACAGTTCCTGGTTGCTGATTTTGTCTGGCCAGTGAATTCTGAGAATCCTTCTTAGACAGTTGTTGATGAAGGACTGGATTCTGGTCAGGTTTACGGCCGTTGATCTCCATGTCTCGGCTCCATATAGCAGCACAGGTTTTACCATAGCGTTAAAAATCCTTACTTTTAACTTGCTGCCTAAGTTGTTAGAGACCCAAACATTCTTGAGTTGTTGGAAGGCTGCTCTTGCTTTTCCAATCCTTATTTTGACGTCCGCATCTGTACCACCTTGTTTATCTACCATGCTGCCAAGGTAAACAAAACTGTCCACCTCCTCAAGGGCTTCTCCTTCAAGCATAATGGGTGATGTACTGGTGGCATTAACCTTGAGGATTTTACTCTTCCCTTTGTGAATGTTGAGACCCATGCTAGCAGAAGTGGCTGCGACAATGTTTGTTTTCTCCTGCATCTGTTGTTGGGTATGTGCAAGAAGTGCAAGATCATCAGCAAAGTCAAGATCATCCAGTTGATCCCACAAGGTCCATTGGATGCCATTCCTTTTCTGCTGTGTAGATGTTTTCATCACCCAGTCAATGGCTAACAGGAAGAGGAATGGTGACAGCAAGCAACCTTGTCTCACACCAGTCTTCACCTGGAAAGCATCTGTCAACTGCTGGCCATGGATAACTCGACAGTTTATCCCTTCGTACATGTTTCTGATTATATCAGTAATCTTCTGTGGCACCCCGTAATGCCTTAGCAATCTCCACAGGGTTTGCCTGTCAACACTGTCGAAGGCTTTTTCATAGTCAACAAAGTTGACATAGAGCGGCGAGTTCCACTCTAGTGACTGCTCTAGAATGATGCGCAGTGTCGCTATCTGGTCCGTGCAGGATCTGTTGGTGCGAAAGCCGGCTTGTTCGTCCCGCAACAGAGGGTCTACAGCGTTTTTCATCCTGTTAAGTAGTACACGGTTGAAAACCTTTCCTGGGATGGACAGCAGGGTGATCCCTCTGTAGTTCGAGCAGGAGCTTAAGTCTCCCTTCTTTGGGATCTTGATAAGGTATCCCTCTTTCCAATCGGAAGGAACTTGCTCCTCTTCCCATATCTTCATAAACAGAGGGTGTAGCATTTCCACACTGGTTTCCAGGTCCGCCTTCAGTGCCTCTGCTGGGATGCCATCAGGTCCCGCAGCCTTTCCATTTCTGAGTTGTTTAATGGCCCTGCTAATCTCTTCTTTGGTGGGACTATTACAGTCAATTAGCAGGTCATTATCGGCTGGTTGGATATCTGGTGGATTTCTTTGTTCAGGCCTGTTAAGGAGCTCTTCAAAGTGCTCCTTCCATCTCCCTATCTGTTGCTCCTCACTTGGTATGGTGTTTCCCATTTTGTCCTTCACTGGTCTCTCTACCTTGCTAAATTTCCCTGACAGCGTCTTAATGGTATCAAACAGTTCCCTCATGTTCCCCTGGTGAGCTGCATCCTCTGCTTCTTTAGCAAGTTTATCAACAAATTCCTTCTTGTCCCTCTTGATGCTTTTCTTAACTTCCTTATTTGCATCTGCATACTCCTTCTGGGACTTGTTTTTCTGTGCTCGGGTGCGGCTGTTATTCACTTCTGATTTCTTTCTTTTCCTTTCTTCTATTTTATTCAGCGTACCTGCTGTCATCCATTCTTTGTGTGCCTTTTTCCTGTTTCCTAGCACTTCTTGACATGTTGACTGGACTGTTTCTTTCATGCTTTGCCACTTTCCTTCGGTGGTTTCATCTTCAAGTATTTCTTGTAGGACTTGGAACTTATTGAATAGTGAGATTCTGAATTCTTCCTTTTTGGCTTGGTCCTTCAGGAGGGAGGTATTATACCGAGTCCTGTATGCTGTTTGCTCGGTATAATGTCTCTTTAGTTTTAATTTCATCCTGGCCACAAGAAGATGGTGATCTGAGGCAATATCAGCTCCCCTCTTAACACGTACGTCTTGGAGAGATCGCCTGAATTTTTTACAAATACATACATGGTCTATTTGGTTCATCGTTCTCATGTCCGGAGAGACCCATGTAGCTTTGTGAATCCTCTTGTGCTGGAAAATGCTCCCCCCTATGACCAGGTCAGCTGTGGCACATAGGTCCGCAAACCTCTCACCATTGTCGTTCATCTCGCCTATCCCTTGCTGTCCCATAACCTCTTCGTACCCTGTGTTGCTATTGCCGATCTTGGCATTAAAGTCTCCCATGAGGATGACGATGTTCCTCCGTGGGCGACCCTGGACTATGGTCATTACTCTATTGTAGAATTCTTCTTTGTCTCCTTCATCACTTTCATTAGTTGGTGCGTAGCATTGTATAACATCTAGGTTGATGCTACGTTTCTTTGTTCGAAAGGTTGCTAAAAGAATTCTAGGTCCATGGGCCTCCCATCCAATGAGTGCTCCTTGTGCTGCCCTTGATAGCATCATAGCAACACCCAGGGTATGTGGGGCATTGTCTTCTTCGTGTCCCGAAAATATCACCATCTCTCCTGAGATTAATCTCTTCTGTCCCCATCCAGTCCATCTTGCTTCACTAATTCCGAGAATGGTGAGCTTATAGCTCCTCATCTCAGCGGCTATTTGTGCCGCTTTACCAGCCTCGTACATGGTGCGGACATTCCAAGCGCCAATGACGGTGGTAGTCCTGGTAGAGATGATGGTTGTCGGCTTAATAGCTTCCAGGTTTCGGCTTTCACTATTAGGCGTCATATTTTCCTCCTCAAGGAATCCATCCTCTCCCAGGACTGAAATGTCTTTTGTTACTCTTTTCGGTGCTTTTGTAACTATGATTTTTTTACATGGCAGGGTTGTTGGCCTTGCGCACAACCACTTGGGGGGTTGCCCCTCACAGCTCAATGGGTAGCTGCCTTTGTTCGGGTTAGGTCCCTAGCCTTTGTGGATCCCTCCACTTCCTACAAGGCAGTAGGGCTGATTTTGGTCCGCCCCGGGTATTTTATTTCCCCGGTACCCTCCATATCTGGCGGGCTTTCCCCTATCCGCCGCCTGGGGAGGCGCTCGATAGAAGATCAGCATCTCCCACGAGGATCCAATCCGGCTGCGTTTGTTTTCTCTCCTTTGGGAATCCTCATGTCTAAATATAGTTTGCCTTTTTATAATCTGGGCTTTCCCCAACATGCTAGCTTGGCTTATTTTTAAATGTTAAAAAATGCGATAGCGCTCCATTACTGCTGGTTCCCATCGGGGACCTCTGCAAATGCACTGCAATACTGTTTAGTTGGCTGCTGATGTAATTGTAGCAACTGATTTTTGTTATTATATTTTTTCTCATTATAAAAGTTGAAATTAAAGCATGCTTTATAAATTTACACCTCCACCCCTTCCACACCACCACCACCAAAAATAAAATCAACCACAATAAATATTATTTTTAAGAAATTAATTTTTATTTTTTTTTGTTTAAATTTAAATGTCTAAATAAAGGGAGAACACTCCGTTGGCTTTAAGTTAAGTTTTCTAAGAGTAACCAAACGTGCGGCCAACTAACTATCTGGGACTTGGACTTGTTTTGTTGAATTTTAACATTTCAATCATTTATAATGTGACGATTATTTACATTCAGTTTGATTCAGCGTTCATCCATTGTTGGGTGAAATATATTTTTATTTCTACATTTATTAGAGGAATTGTGACTGGTTCTTACATTATTTTAATCAATTTAATGAGTGTAAATATTATATAAATTAATAATAATATGTTTAGGCTTTTACTTTTACTTTTAACAATAAGAAGAGTTAACAGTTATGAGTTATGTGTATCTGTGCACTACAGATGGTTGGTCGGAATGTTAGCACATTTTGTTAGTGCAAAAGAAATCAAAAGTTGGCATCTATTCACCTGTCAATTTTCTCTTAATCCACTCCCTAGAATGATTAACACATCATTGTACATGTTACATCTCATGGTGTTCAATTTAAAAAAAAAACACAACACACACATCAGTGTTCAACAAAAACTAAAAATTATAAACTATACTAGTCTAACTCAAAGACAGAGAGAGTTTAAAACTTATGGCAATTATTGTTCACACAGACAATGCTTCGATTTTAAGTGCTGAATAGTTAGATAAGGATGATGTTGACTTGTCTGGTATATCAGTTCCGCAAGATGAAAATTATAAATCAGCTACTATAGACTATGCCCATCGGAGGCATAATTTCAGGTTTTTTTCAAGGGAAAGTGGGGGGGGGGGGAACCAAAACTTGTTTGGCTTGTTTAGTTGTTTACTACGGGGGGCGCCACAGTACTTAGCAATTTAAATAAAACCAGCAAAATTGAACCAAAACTTGTTTGGCTTGTTTAGTTGTTTACTACGGGAGGCGCCACAGTACATAGCAATTTAAATAAAACCAGCAAAATTGGGGGGGGGGAGGAGGGGAGGGAAACTGCCCCCTGCTCTACCCAAATGATGTCCTTGATGCCCATTGTTATGATAGAGCAACACTTGCCTATTCAATGGAAAGATCAATAATCATATTTATACTTTCACAAACAATTATATTTAGTCTTTAACAAACTTTTAATTGATTCTGCATTATAAAATTTAAGTGTACAACTTTTTAACTTGTTCATTAACAAGCTAAAGATATAATAAAAATATTTTTCCTACAATTTTAAGTTATTAAAAATACGGTACATCAGCATAAAATAAAATGTATTTATAAATTTATCTATATTATAATTTATTTATTTTTGTGTGGGGGTGGGGTGTTAAAATGTTGACATAATTAAATAGGGGGTCATCGAAAGTTTGACAGTTGTTGACAAGAGGGGAGGGGGGCAAAAATTGTGTAAAAATTGTTGACTTAATTAATGGATAACCCCTAAGAGATTTCGCTTTTGCCTTGTCTTTTAGTAAACTTTTATTTTTACGTGTGAGTACATTTTCAATTTTAATACTGAATTCAATTTGAGTATTTTTCAGTGTCTGACAAAAATCACCATGACACTAGAATTCAAAAGCAACAGTGGGGGACTGGGATCCCGGGAAAGTGAGGGTGGCATTTTTGCCTTTGGGCTGCTCTGTCGGTGAAATATGGGCGCTTCCCGTCAGAAATATTTTAAGTCATTGGTTGGTCAACAACAAACTGCTTTGAGTAAAGCACCATTTTATAAAAAAAATTATATCTGTTACTAAGGGAACATCCATGAAGTACGTCATGGTATTGATAAACAGGTTTAACACCCCCCCCCCCCCCGGCAGGTCAGAATCTTTCACGAATCACAGGAACCCTCCACTCCCAACCCTTAAAAAAACTATGTCAAACTTTAGAACTAAAAAAAGTGTTACAATTTAATTTTTTTTTAAAATTGTGTAAATACTCTTCCCAATTAAACTATTAAATTTATAAAAGTGACATCTTCTTTCACTTTCTGAATATACCCATCACAACAGGAAGTTAAACATCACTGCCATTTTTAGTTTTTTGTGTGAAAGATAAAAAAAAAAAACATGTGAAGTCACATTTTATTATTTTTAAACCCCATCCATCCCCAGTCACAAACTGTCAAACTTTACCTGCCTCTCTCCAGAGCATGACATACTTTATGAACAGCACCCAAGAAGTGCAGATTGTATGTAATGTGTAAATGCATATCTTATTTAAAAGCAGGTTTAAACAATTATTCTCAGCACATAAAATGATAATGTATTTTATTATTTTTATTGTGCCACAAAATAATGAATTAGAATGTTTTTGTTTGAAAACTTAATAATCATAATATCATTGTTATAATTGATGAATATAATAGTTATTATAAAATATCTTTGAAAGATTAATAAAAAAAATTTTTTAAAGGAAGGATATGAGGAAGTTTATGTAGTTCATTTCCTGAGAATTGAACCCCAATCCATATTAAGCGTTTTCTTTACCACATGAACACAAAAAGATATATGACTAAAAATTATTGTACAATTACTATCTGTATTTGCTCTGGGATAAATCAATTTTATAATTCTAAATTGTTTTAATAATATTTTATCTAAATGTAAATTAGATTTTTAATTTATAGCCTGTATTAATAATGTCTCACTGCAAGGTTATCTGTGACCTGGACAGAAAACAAAACTCTCTCCTCTCCCACCCCCGAAATAAACTAAAATCGGCTCTGAAAGGGCTACTTTTATCAAGGGCAGCTTGGCCAATCTAATTTACTGGACAGTTGAAAATCAATACTACTATAACATTTTATTATGATAACTGACTATAATTGTCATTAAATGACTTAACACTCTTTTTGCTAATTTTTACACCCCCCCCCCCCCAAACATACACACACACACAAAATAATCACAGATTTGTATCACAGATTTGTAACACAAATCATACACTTTTATCAAATGTCCTCACAAATTTGAGACTCCCGACCCACCCTGAGAACTAGACAATATTTCACATTTTACATGGACTTTAATACAAACACTAAAAAAATTCCTGTGTTTGGGCTGATAACCTATCAGTATAGTTTTGTTAGTTCAAAAAAACCACTCTTAGTACTTAAAGTACACAATGTAAAAAATAAACATTGTACTCTGCCCCACTTTACACCACACAAGAGATGAGAGTGTTCGCACGGTCTAAGGTTCAAAATCTGAGAGTGCTCTGTCTATGTTCTAACTTATTCAAGTAATTGATGAAGCATAATTTGTGTTAGAAGACCAGATGCAGGAAAAAAAAAAGGAATAATAATATGATTTTAAATTTCTTATTTTACTGTGACTAGCATTACCTACTTCAAATAATGACAGTGTTGTGTCTGAGACCTAACAATAAAGTTTATCTTGTGTTAAGACATTTTGGTACCTGGCTGAGGCCAAAGCAGATCAGCTGTTGCAAACAGCTTTTTGACATACAGTTTCCTGTTGTCAATGCTACACAGGCCAAAGTCTTAAAAGCTCCAGAGACTCATCGTGGCTTAAGATTTATCTCTAGGTGAGTTGTACTCATTCATACCACTAATGCTCTTTCCAAATACGGCTATAAACGAAATGAATCTAAAAGATCTTAAACTAATTGTTAACTAATACACATTGGGGATCAGATAAGATTCTTTAATTGATCCTAATTAATGGAAATTTTTTTTTTTATTTTTACAATGTAAATTTAAATATTCATTTTCAATACTCGGATAAATATTCGTACCCAGAAATTTTTAAAAAACCAGAGCAAATTTAGACGCATGACTTTAACTAAAGTAATTCTCAAGCCCCACCATTGTATTACCATAGAACCTTACTCCCTTATTAGCAATATTGACTTTAAGATTGTTAGTTTATCTGATGGTTAAGTTCATGAATTGTTCTGTATTGTAATTTGAACACAATTCTATGATTTTAAGTAAATGTTTTGTATCATTTAATTTTTAAGCGTTGTTTTATATTGACTCATTCTCATGTGTATTTTATTATTTCATCGAGTTGTAATCTTCTCTCTGATGAAACATAAGCAGAAGATTTTTTTCTTCTCACTTTTGAAACTTAAATCCATAAATTATTTCAGGGACACAAAGACCAAAAATAGCATGGAAGTGCAAAAACTGTCGGACAGACTTGTACTTCACAAAGCTGTTTCGAGAGATGCTTGGAAACTGCCAGGAGATCCCTCCAAAGTTCTTGTTCTGTTTTTCACATGGATGGGTGCAAAAGAAAAACATGTGAACAAATACCGTGAGCTGTACACAACATTAGGGCTCGATGTTCTCACCATCAAGTCCAGTTCAAAAGACTTTCTCTGGCCGCCAACCTCATTTGTGTTGGCCAAGGAAATTACATCAGTGAGTCAGATATTTTCGTTCCACAAATCATAGTCAATTCATTTAATTTTAAAAAAAGAAAGAAAGAATTTTGTACTGGTAGTAAAATTAATTCAATTAAATGGGCAGATCTTAGATCTGTCTAAGGCAGTGATCGTCAAATCACGGCTCACGGGCTGCATGCAGCTCTTTAGTGACCTGAGTGCAGCTCAGCCAGTGGAACACATATCGGTTTTGACTCCGTAAAACATGATCCTTGACAGGTTCTTGAAAAGAAATTTGGCTCTCAAAATTTTTTTAATCGTCCTGCTGCTTATTTTTTTGGCTCTTTTGACTAATCAGTTTGCCGACCACTGGTCTTAGGGATTACCGGAGGTGGTTGGGCTGGGTGGGGGAGGCAGCTGAAGACAGTGTGTCCTGCACAGGATCTCGTAGATGATGGCGTTATATATGGGAATGTTTTAGTTGCTTGAAGATGAGCCCCAGGCTAACGAATCCATGTGTGACAATAAAGCTGAGATCCCAGGGCCTAGCAAAGGTGGTCGAATGATTCTTGGAAATTGGTAAGGACTTAGACTTTATCTGACATCATCCTCACAGGACCCACCATCTTGCGAGAATATATATTGAATCACTGGGATTTTTTTTACAGAGATTATAAGTGCATAAACATAAACTATAACTGGTAAATTAATATTTTAAAATGTTCAATGGCTGAGGCCAAAGTAACAATGTTATCTTGACTTACAATTAAATATTCAGACAGATTTTGAAAATCATCAATTTTGTTCACCTTCCTGAAGGCCAAAAAAGATAACTTGATTTGGGCTTTAGATTTTTTAACTACTTGAGAAAAAAAAATGTGCTAACTGTCACATGCTCATGTCTGTATTTGTTACATTGACTTACACTTATTAACCTTTGTTGTTTTTTTAATGTGATAGTAAAACTATGTAATATCTTCCATTGTTGACAACCCCTTAAATATCTGAAAGGGCACATATTTTGATTACTGGTATAGCTTTAGTGTTTCGTATGAAGATCAGAAGTACTCTCTTCTGGATCATGGTTCCTATACAATGTCACCTGATGTCCAAGAGTTTATTTACATTGTACAGCACACCACCATATCACATCATAGATGTATGTGTTTGCCGTAAAGCAAAATTGCATGCATCTCAAGATAGGCTAAGAGTATACTTAAAGCTGAATGTTGTCCATGTAATGTTAAGATTTTAAAGATTTTATTATACTATAACCCTCATGTAGTTTGAAAGATACCCTATTTTCATTGAATAATTAATGTCTGTTGTCCCACATACAGAGCCATCAAGGTGGCTCTACAACCCCTGAGGCTTTCAGGGGGGCTCATGTGTTTAAAGAGGCCAAAAGTTGTGAATTGGAGAAAAATAATTAATAGTAAGTATTTTTAATTGCATTGAGTTGGAAGGTAACCCCCCCCCCCCCCCCCACCCAAAGGTATGCAACAGCTCTGCCCATGTAATGCTCCATGACATGGTGAATGTAATTTTTAAGCAATGCCCATCGAATTTTAATATCCCATGTTATGTATTTGTCCCATGCAATTTCAATGCCAACTTCCCAATATTTCCTGACAATATTCTCACTTTTCTATTTCCAGACATTAAAAAATGAACTGGGAGCGTACAATCAGTTTTTACTGCACTCCATATCTGTGGGGTCTTACAACTTGACAGTGCTGTGTATGCATGCCAGACAGCAGCATCTGGAGGAACAGCTGCTGAAAAAATTCAGTGGGATCATTTTCGACAGTATTGTTGTAGGGGGAGGCCTGGGAGGCATCATCAAACATCCTCAAGATCAAAAGGTCAAGGACATCGAGGCGTTGGACAGAATGATAAACGCCGTGGCCATCTCCGTCAGCCAAACTAAATTCGTTCAAGGAATATTAACGTCGATAGCCAGGGTGTACTTTGCAGCAACAAAAAGCCACACTGTGGATTTTTACGAAACAGCCAACAACGCAGTCCGAGACGAGCCGGTCAATGTACCCACTCTGGTGCTGACCTGTAGAAATGACCCACTGACCGACCTGGATGTCACAGAGAAGCTTGTGGACATCTGGAAGGCAAACCACAATATGCCGGTTACGCTTCATGTGTGGGACGACTCTGCACACGCCCAGCATTACGTCCTACACAGAGATGAGTATGTGAACATCCATAAGAATTTCCTAGCTCAAGTTTTTTGTGTGGACACTGGTAGCAGTGGTAGTTCTCCGACCAGTGTGATTAAATCTAAATTATGAACAAATTAAAACCTGTAATTTATTTGTCACATGCCGTTATATGGTTGTACTAATTTAATCGTTAATTTAAGATTTTGCTTATTAGATGAATAATCCGAAACAAAGTACTGAAAATCAAATTCAAAAAATAATTTAAAAATCACCAAACCTGGTTATAATCAACACTAATAACATCACTTTGGCCTGAGGGACGTCCGGTCGACCGAAGACGCTGCGTTTAAAGCGTCCGCACTCCACTCTCCTGTGGGTCGGGACGGCTTTACTTCCTCTCTGGGGAGATGGTATTGCGTTACCACTCCTCACGGTCCAGGGAGCTGTCCGGTCGGGACGTAGCGGGGACGAAACGGTCGCCTAGGGGCGGCTTTCTCAGGGCCGCGTCTTTTTAATCATCGGCAAGGGTTTAGGCTGCCACCCATTGCCTCATACTCATTACCGGCAACAAGTAATCATGTTAGTGCGCGCCTTCCGTTGCGTGGGAAGTCATGCAAGTGGGTCGGGATTTTTTAGCTTCGGGGAGTCCCCCCCCCCTCCTACTAGTCGTCCACGCCGCGAAGAGGCGAAATCCCATATGGCACCACCGTGCAGTGGTGTTGCTCCGTGGTCTAGAGGCGTTCGGCCACGGACGCAAACGAAGACTTAACACTAAACAATTCAATTATACTATTAATTTGTTACAATGATACAGAATCAAATTAAATAAAATAGACAGAAATAAAAACTTTATTAACCTACAGCATAGCATTTGAAAAAGTATAATACTAGAAATAGAAAGGTATGCATTTTATTACACACACAGGGAAAAAAACCTAAGTCTTGTAGGCCTCCTGTAAGTCTGGTAAGTCTCCATGAGGTCTGCCGGCTACAGTCGTCAATAGGAAAGGACTGTTTTGACATTCGTGCTGAAAGTTAAGACTTAAGCTTGCAGAGTCAGCTCCTTTGGAACCCATACTTTCTTTAATGGCACAAATGCCGACCCAGCCTCTCCAATCATCGCCCTGACATCAGCTTCGGTCCCACCCTTTACGTCAATGGTGCTGTCCAATTGGGTGAAGGCCTCAACTTTTTCTGGTGCATTTCGTGTCAAGGAGATAATATTCTCTCGGTTAGTTGAGTGTACCCTCATGATCTTTTGTCTTGCTTCTATTTATGAGGAGTCCCAGCTGTGCTGAAAAGGTGGCTACATCTCTTGTCTTTTCGATTCATTTGTTGTTGGTTGTGGGGACAGAAGTCAAAGCTCATGTGCATGGTCAAGGTCAAACAAACTTAGGCCCGGATGTTGACCGTTTTTTGTTTATCTTTGACTTCAATAGACGTCACTGATCAGCTTTAGATATCTTTTGATAAGCCACTCGATTGCATATTTTTCACCTTTCTTTTTCTTTGTAATGGGTTTTTGAATGGGTAACATAACGTGTTTTTAAACTGATATGGTGTTTGTATTACGTCAGTAATACTAGTAATAGCGGTTAAATATTATTTTTTAGATGCTTCAACCAACTTCACATGCGCTATTTTATCTCCCATCCTAAGAAGGCGGCATCAAAGCAATTAACCAAAGACAAGTTGGATACCGGTAGAGGCATTATGATTATCCATAAAATTTATTAAAATCCGGAAACTCTGTCTGAACAAAAAACCCAGACTCTGTTTTAATTGCAAACTTAAAATCAAGGACCTAATAGCTATTCCGGGCACACAATGATTCACCCAAGAACGTAACAGCTATTCTGAGCACACAATGGTTCACTCAAGAACGTAACAGTTATTCTGAGCACACAATGGTTCACTCAAGAACGTAACAGCTATTCTGAGCACACAATGTTCACTCAAGAACGTAACAGCTATTCTGAGCACACAATTGTTCACTCAGGAACGTAACAGCTATTCCAAGCACCCAATGGTTCACTTAAGAACCTAACAGCTATTCTGAGCACACAATGGTTCACTCAAGAACCTAACAGCTGTTCTGAGCACACAATGGTTCACTCAAGAACCTAACAGCTATTCTAAGCACACAATGGTTCACTTAAGAACCTAACAGCTCTTCTGACCATACAACGATTCACAAAACGCTTGACTACGGCAACGGACCTATTTTGGGGAACTAAAAAAACACAAACAAAACTCTGGGACTTTCAAGACTTGTTTTCATATGTGCAATGCAATCAAATAAAACTTTTATTTATTGGGCACAATAAAAGCATATCAACTTATCTTACAGAAGCGTATCTAGAGTTTTTGATATCCGGTGACAAGTTTTATTTTTAGCAATAAAATACCATCAAATCCCATTTTTGCGCCTCTCATAGTCTTGCTTCTGGGGACATCTGCCCCCCTATACCCCCACCCTAGCTACACTTCTGGAGCGATACCAAGTGATGTATAGATAAGATAACCGAGAAATTGAGTAAGGGTCTAAAAAGATAATTAACCTTGATATTAAACTTCAATTATTTTACTGTAAAGTACCAGTATTCAAATCTGGCAATAAATATTGCTTTACATTCAATTTAACACATAGATTTAGAGTGCGCCACTGTAAGTCAAACACTCCAGATGTTGGACCCCAGAATGGCATACATACCCTGATGAAAAGAATAATAGGGCCAAAACAGTGATTAGTGTGCTCAGTGCTCAGTATCGTTTTCAAAAGAGAAATTTACAACGTTTCTAGGAAAATCTTAGACTCATTTCCAACTTTAATAAGGCGAAACTAAGTCTCTTGATGTGTAGAAATGAGATTAAATTGGTTCAGGTCGTTCTTGGTAATTCTCAATGGAGAAAGAGAGAAGCAGCTTGAATGAAACTCGCTTGCAAAATGCTCCCAAACCAAGAGGTCTGTGAGCTAAATTTCACCGACTTCACTGCCTACAAAAACCAAACACATCTTTTATTTCGAAACATCGTGAATGTAAAATGGCCAAACATCCCCAACAAAGACTTATGGAGAGGACATAACCAGATCCTTTTGGTGAAGACACCATGAAGAAAAGATGGAGGTGGCTAGGGCACACTCTACGTACACCTTAAAATTATCCCCAAAACATCCTAACATGGAATCCATGGGGGGGGGTGGTATGAGAGGAAAACCAAAGAATACATGGAGACGCCAGCTAGAGGCAGACACATAAAGAATGGGATACATGAAGACGCCAGCTAGAGGCAGACACACAAAGAATGGGATACATGGAGACGCCAGCTAGAGGCAGACACACAAAGAATGGGATACAAGGAGACGCCAGCTAGAGGCAGACACACAAAGAATGGGATACATGGAGATGCCAGCTAGAGGCGGACACACAAAGAATGGGATACATGGAGACGCCAGCTAGAGGCAGACACACAAAGTATGGGATACATCTGCAACTGTAAGCAACTGGAAAGGAAAGTACAGGACCGAGAAGAATGGGAATTCTTGTAGACGGTATATGCCCCGACGGGGTCAAAGGCAAAAGTAAAGTTAGTGGTTTGTTTAAAAAAAAAAAAAAATTGGGGTCATTACTCGGTTGTAACAAAAAGGTCGGGGGGGGGGGTGAGGGAGACATCTCTGTATAAAAAGCAACAGACACACAATGTGACCATAATGAATGTGTACCTTTATGCGTGTCGGGTGCACCGTGCCACTTGATCACGATGGTGTGTCGAGCATACTGTCTGCGTGCCAGACACAAAGTGGGTGTGTCAAGAATAAGTGTGTCGGACACACTGAGTGCATACGTCTCGCACAACCGTGTGTGTGTATGCCACAAAGCCAGAAATCTTTTTTGAGTCTGATGCACACAAAGTGGCCATATACGGTATGTGTTTAGAGACATTCTGCTGCTGCTTTACGTGTTGTGTCTGACGTGAACTCGCTACTGCGTCGGTAAGGGACAGTTGATCAAACGTGACCAGCCCCTTGATTGATTCTGAATAATTTATCGACCCGTATGGGCTTTGAATCTCCAAGGGTTGGTCGATACAAGCATTTAATGACTTTTTTTTTTTTTAAGAGAGAGAGAGACCAAATTATTAAAATTATAAGTTTTATATACACACACATAATTTCAACATTTGCTTTTACTCCTGCTTCTGTGTGTATGTTCTTAATCGAGTTTTGAATTTTACCCCTGTGTGTGTGTGTGCAGTGGTGTAGCTAGCAGGGACGTATTTTCAGTTGTTTTTTTTTTTTGTTTGTTTTTTTGGAGGGGTGGTGGGTAGTGACAAAAACATAAACTTGACCGGGCTTGTTGACTTGTTTATTACTGGAGGGGCCACAGTACATAGCGATTTAAATAAAACCTGAAAATTCAGCCCCCCCCCCCCCCGCCCCC